GACATGGGTACCTCTCAAAAAATGAAGAGTCCGTGTAATGCAGGTTAAGACACTTGAGGTCTTTCTTCATCTTGGAAATGAAATATGATTCATCACCCAACAACTTACCCTTTTAAGTAATATATCTAAATTTTGAGTGTGGAAATTGAAAACTTTTCTATGAGTTGTAACCACCCTGACCAGCATACTTTTTCCCGTTCCCTAGCTACCATGAGTTCTTGTCATCTCCTAAGCCCCCATAACCATAAGTAATTTCTGATGATTAGTCATCTTGTCCTACTCCCCAGCATCTTATCCTACTCCCCAATCTTGCAAATTCATTGTTGACCCAATATCCCAAAATATAACCTGAAGCTGCAAATAATTGGCTACCGTTGCCTCTCTATTCACAGCATGGAGAAAGATGGCTAGGAAAGCTGTCTCCAATACCTCATCTCCTCATCATGTATGCCACCAAAAAGTCACCCTATCCCCTCTACCTACCCAAAATCTTACCAACTTCACGAAATCCTCCCAAACAAGCTAGATACACTTCCACAAGCCCCTCCCATGAGACATAGACAGCTCCGAGGAAGTCTAGTCACCCCATTTACTTCCATATTTTGCCACCACCATCCTCCGATTTCTTTCCCTCTCACAAGCAAATTTCCACAACCATTTACCCAAGAGAGCTATTGAAAATACGTAACCTCGGGAACCCTAACCCGTCTTCCTTCACTAAGGTGCACAATATCCCAATCCACAAGATAGTAATTAAACTCCTCTCGCATACTTTTTATTATACATTTTTTTTATTGTGTATTATTTAATTTGCAGTTTGTTTTGCAATTGTCCTTTCTCTGTAATGATATAGCATTAGTGGTTTATTGTGTTTAAGGAATTTCATTCTTTAATCTACCAACCAGTTTTGTGCTAATAAGTTGGTATAGATTTTGTTTAATTCAACAATTAAAACTTTTTGCCATCATCACATATTTTGAGCTATTTGCAATATCAGTTTTCTCTTGACCTATTCCTTCGTGAAACACTATTGGGGGCTCATGAATAGAGTAAGTTCTCTTTAGCGATTTTCATGTTACTTGTTGTATGAACTCAATATGGTAAGGGTTGTAATAGTTTCACTTCTCTATTAATTGCAGGTGGCATGCTGTTGCATCATGGACTTGGGATGCACAAGATGAAACATGTGGAATATGTAGATTGGCCTTTGATGGTTGTTGTCCTGACTGTAAACACCCAGGGGATGATTGCCCACTAAGTAAGTCAATGCCTTTAATTAAATCATTCCCTGCACTATTTTTTCATTATTTGCAGATAATTTCTCATTTATGTGACTGGGATCTAGGAATTTAGTGGCTTCTTTAATGGTTTTCGGTCTCTCTGTGCATCAACCAATGAATCAAATTAATTTTCTGTAGACTGCATCTAGCTGAGGCCTTGTGCATGCTTGCTTGGACCTTGAACCTACTGGGATACAGTTAATGCCATTTTCTCAATGGTTGTGTGAGACATCAGAAAATTCTTTGAGGTTCAATTTTAGTGCAAGTTACGTGATGATTAGTGAATTATGCTTGAGGTGTGCTAATTGTCAAGATTAATTGTGAAGTGTTATTTTCCCATCACTTAAAATAAAGTAAGGAAATTAATTCACTATTTTCTTTCTTTTTAATAAATTCTTCTGGACTTGATGCTTATTCATATGGACAATACTTGAAAGTCATCTTGTTATCTAGAATTTTCCTAGCAGATGTATTGCTGATTTGAGAATGTTGGCCTGTAATATAGTTTTTCCTGACATCTTCAGCACTTTTTGTTGATATTGGATGAGGATGCATTATTTGTTATCTTTACCTTTTTAGCTTGGCGATTAAATCAACGGACATGGACATAGACAGACATAGACATGGGGCATGTTGATTACAAAAAGGGGGGGGGGGAAATATTTTTTTTTTACATTATTATTTTGCTATTACAATCACAAACAATCAAAATTAACAAAAACTAACACTAATTCAATATATATAACCCACTTCTAAGAATCATGGACATAAACATGTGACATGACACGGACATGTGGACACAAATTTTCAAAAAATGCAGGATACGACAAGTTGGGGACATGTGCAAAGTATATAATTTTAGGGGAACTTACGTGTAGGTCCTAATAGGTGGACTTATTGTCCAATAGGTTTTATGAGAATTAATGGCTTTTTTTTATCAAACACCATTAAAAACGTCACTAATTGTTAATTTTCAATGGTAGTTTGAAAATTATCACGAAAATTGTCACTAATTATAAGTTTTAGCAACTGTTTAAAAAAATCATCACAAAACAAATTTTTAACTTTCAGTAACAGTTTGAAGAATTTGTCACAGAAAAACGTCACTAATTGTAAGTTTTAGTGACAACAAATTATAAAAATTGTGACAAAAAAAGTCACTAATAGTCAATTTTTAGCGACATGCAAAAATTTGTCAAAAAAAAAAAATATTTTTGACGACGATTTTATTAGGACTTATTTTCAATAGGACTTGATGGGCATTAAGTTCAATTATTAGAACCTATTGGTAGTTTCTCCGTAATTATTATTTTTATATATTTGTTATATGTAATATTTTTAAATATTTAATATGTATTTTATGTCAAATATTTAATTTTATCAAATTTATCAACCTTAAGTAGGCTATTTTAGTAAAAATATTAAAAATTTTAATTTAAAAAATAAAAATAAATAGTCCTTAGAATGTCCTTAACGTGTTCCTAGAGTGTCATCAGCATGTCCGTCGTGTGTCTATTTCCAACACGTGTTGGACACTTGTACGTGACTTTTGGAGAGATGTCCATGCTTTGTAGGCCCACTCTTAAGTTGACTCGTATTGGTTATATATTTTTTATAGATGATCTATTAACTATGTCAATCTAAGCAAATGTAATAAACTTTCAATATCCAACATTCATACAAAGCACTAAAGAAGAGAGGAAAAAAAAAACTAGTTGGCCTATCCCCGGCATGTCGCCGTGTCCGACACCGCTACATCACCTGTTTTGGAGTGCCGATGCCTCATAGATGGTAATGTGAACATAGGCTATACTTTTTGTGCATATATGTGTTGGGTGAGTGGGCAAGTGCTGCATGCTTGTGTGAGCAAGTTCTTGTGTGCATAAACACTCATATGCAGTATGATAGTTCATGAGCCCATGCAAAACTAACTGGGATTTTTGTCCCATTGTCTCAGTCTGATGTTTGAGTGTCTTTGGTAAGCCAAGCCATGAGTGTGTCTTCTATTCTTGCTCTTCGTTGTTTGGCTGGATAATCCTTGAGTAAGGATAGATTGTGTATTTCTTATGGCCAGCCATGATTTAAATACAGTCTTTGAGGATGGGCTTAGGCGAATACCTGTATGCCTGAAATTTGGAAGATGTGCCAGAACCACAGAAGGATGCTGGATTCATTGGTCGTGTGACAAAGGTCACTTCTAATGCAGACATGGAAGCTGATTGCTATGACTCCATAAACTAATCCAAGCTTGAGCCACAGATGCTTGAGAGTTAAGAGCCTTTTTACATTGCTAATGTCTCAAGGTCACACATAAGCACAAAGGCTTGTCACCCACAAACTCAATTGATTAAAATTATAAAATATTAAAAATCTGCTACTTTTAAGGTGATATGCTAGATCTAAGCGCTGAAGATTGATATTTCTAAGTTATTAAATGGAGACACTTGGATTCCTCCAAATTTTATAGGAACCCACAAGTGGGTAACTTTGCAGAATATGCCTACAAGAAAGGAGCAAAGCACCCAATTTACAGAGGCAGGCATAAGTAATGTTTCCTTGAGTGGAGCTGAGCTTTATTTGTTCACTTATGCCATGTTTGGATGGCAGGCATTAAAGACAATGAATGAGTATCTCATTACTATTAATATAATTACTGTGTTATTCGAATGAAAGTTGTTACCTTAATTTTGTACAATCATATCTGACAAAGTAAAAAGTATACCATATACGACGATGTAAGGTGAAACCTTCACTTATAAGGGACAGATATTTACTCCTAGCTCTCTTTCCATTACAGTTGTTAACATTTGGCAAATATTGATAAAACTTTTGTGATAATTTATATGAACCTGCTAAATTCAGAGGTGAAAAATTGCATGTAAGATATAGTGGTCATTATTCTGATTAGATGTTGGACATTTTTCTTTTCAGTACTTTCACTTGATTAAGAGTATGTCCTTGTACGGTTGTACCAGGTGGTTTTTAGGTGGTAGATTGGGACTGCAATTGAGTTTTTTTTAGTATTAGTGAAGTTTGTTGATAAAATTAATACTTCAATTATTATGGTTTGTTTTGCAGTATGGGGTGAATGCAACCACGCGTTTCATCTTCATTGCATCTTAAAATGGGTGAATTCACAGACTCCTCAAGCACATTGCCCTATGTGCCGTAGAGAATGGCAGTTTAAAGGATGAAATCAAACTGTTGAATTTCTTTTTCCCCAGCCTCTCTCTCTCTCTCTCTCTCTCTCTCGCGTGTCCTTTAATTACTTTTTCTCGCTGTGGATCATGTTAAAGAAGCGTGACTTGGAGATGATTAGTGATTTACTGATCTTGAAAGTTGATTTCGTAAAAGTTGATTTCGTACTCTTTTGCACCAACTTTTAGTGTTATGCCAATGTTCGATATTAGCTGGTGCTGTTTACATGTAACTGCTACCCCGAAAAAGCTGAAAGTTGTGTATTTTCCGGCTACACAGACATGTGTTTGTTTCAAATTAGAAAAGCTTACACGTATGCACACAATCGTGGTTGTTTAGACATTTTGCTTAAGCATTTGGAAATTTTCTAAATCAACTGCTTGTTTTAGATGGTGATGTAAGCAAGGTTTTTGTGTTTGTGCTTGTGTTGCCTCCGCATAATATTCTGGATATGGATATGGATATAGATATGGATATGACTTCAAGAGCTAAAGGAAGCCCCCCACAGTGGTATGTCATCTTCTTTGCGTGCTCCATGTATGCTTCAATAGGATGGTTTTGTCCGAAGGCATGCCAGCTGAAGAGACGAAGCGCTTCAACATCATTAAACTCCTTAACCATGGATACCTCACAAACTTCGTGAGGCTTTAGCAATCAGTCATGCCTAGTTGTAATGATAATTTTATTTGCAGGATGAAACCAGTGTCGCATTCCAAATGTTGCATGTACTTGGTCCAATTCATCCACATCATCTAGAACGACGAGAACATTTTTACAGCTTATAGCATCTTTAATCTTAATGATTCCCTCATCAACATTGTGTGTTTTTTCTACTTTCCGCTTAAAAATATCAGAAAGAAGCTGTCTTTGTAAACGAACCAAACCATTGAATTGTTTTGTAGTTTCTCTAACATTTGCAAGAAAGCTGCTACCTTCAAATCTATCAAAGTTTTGATTATAAACAATTTTTGTAATGGTTGTCTTCCCTATTCCACCCATTCCACATATCATTATTCCAACATTGTTTGACCTATCTTGTAACCGTGAATTAATGTCTTTTACACGAGTTTCTATTCCTGTTAGGTAGGGAGTGACACTCAAGACTGTACGATCCAATTTATTAGCAATCTCTTGAACAATTATCTGGATAAACTGTGACTCATGCCTATGAATCATGAAAAAGATACAAAATGGAACACATTAACCATGTTATGAGATCAAATGAGACAATAACCTGCATGAAAAATTATATGACTTGATTTTAAACATTGATGGTATAATATAATCTCTAGAATGTTATATGAGATTGATATGAAACTGGAAAAATTACATAATTAGAACATTTGAAAAAAGAAAAGAAAGAACCAATATCAATAGACTGATGTTGCAACTCCAACTTGCATCAGCAATAACTATAATTTTCATTAGGATGTGTTGTTTTAGTCAGCTCTAAAATGAAAAATAAAATTCAATAACACAAAGTGTTACAGTACTTACTGTTTAACATTTTTTGTAGACAAAACAGGACTCCGTAGTAATGGGTTGACATGTCAGGTTGAGTATCAGTGTTGTGATTTTGAAGATTAACAAGAAGCCAATAAAATCATTGCTCCATACTCACAATCTCGCATAGGTATATATGAGCTTATTGTATCAGTGTCTGGACACATGTTTTAAATTTCAAAAAAATTACCTATTTAATGATTTATCATTCTTGGATGGTTTTGTGTTTGAAAACACAAGAAAAATAGGAGCAAGAGCCAAAACTCTGAGGGCCTCACTCGAATCCCACTCAAGCGGAGCACATGAGTTGCAGAGGAGAAATCCGATCGAGGTTCTTGTTCTAACTTCTAAGGCCTTGTTCATTGTTGTAGAAGTAAAATGGCATTTCATAAAAAACTGTCTAACAATTTTAAAGAAAAGCATTTATGCTTGTTGCCTAAGTAACAAAAATAGGAAATTTACCCATCAGCTTGATTTTGTAGGACCAAACCTCCTAGATCTGCAACTTCTCTGAGTGCTGTCCTCCACCCTTCCACCTTCTCCATCCCATGTTTCCCTTTTCTTTCATCAATTTCCACCCCAAATTGAGCTTCATGCCGGGAAAATGCTTCACCAACACTTCCAGTTTGCTTCCTAACATGGGATGGATCTATACCATAGAAAACTGGTAAAATTACATGTTTGAAGCCCCTCCGGCACTCGAGGATCAGCACAAGTTCATCAAGGCACTATTGTGAAGAAGCATAGTCTTTTGGGAATACAATTATTGAACTCCTTAACTCCTTGATTGCCTTAATAGCATCATCAGATTCATCACCATGATCATCATCTCTAAACGTGTGAAAACCTGTACCAACCAAGGCCGTATAGAGGTGTCTGAAAGAGTCTTAAAGGTGTCTTCAGCGAAACTCAAGAACACATGATAAGAACACCGGGGTGTGGAAGAGGATGCCTCGGCAGCCATTGAACAGAGCTATTAATTCCCAACTCTTGTGACTGTAAAACCCAAGTTATGTGTAGGATTATTTTATTGGATAGATTAGTAATTAAATTAATTTATATGGGTCATTTATTAATATCAAAGAATTAGTTATGAGATGACATTATATTTCCTATTACTTAGATGGGTAATTTTGTAACTTTGAGAAATTAGGTTAATAAGCCCACCCATTGTGGCTTTAAGTCTTGGAAAACAAACAAAACAGAGGCTGTGAATAGCTCCATCGTGAAGAACTTTCAACACCCATTGGTTAAGGTAAAATCTGTCTTTACTGTTAATTATTAAGTTTATGTTGAGGAATTTAGCAATCAATGTATTAAGGGGATTTGGAAGATCTATAGGTGCCTACTTAGGTTTTGAGAATTGGGTGCAATGTGTAAGTGTAACTTTGGGTGGGTAATAGAAACAATGGAGTTTTGTATCATGGGTAAAGGTGTGTTTGGCTATAAAGTTGGGTTGAATGGTTTGATCTCTTGGATATTAAAGCAATACATTAATCTAATACAGTAGGGCTTTTGTGGGTGTATGTAACATGTAAAAAATATTAATTTATTTGAGGTTTTATTTATTAGGTTTGTGTGATCGAAGTGGTGGAGCTGGGTGTTTGGAATTGGTGTTGGAGTGTTATTTCTAAGGGTTTGAGGTAAGTAACCCTCTATCACTGTTGGTTCATTTTCATTCGTATCGAATCGTTTAAAATCATAAATATTTATTTATAACCTTCATGTTCTCTTAAAATAAAATATGGGTCAAGTATAAAACAACATCGAATATTATTATGAAAATTATTTGAATATTTGGTGAAACTATTCTGAAAATTGTACTAAACTTTTATTCTGAAAATATCGAATGTTTTATTTAAAAGTTGTATATTGTTTGAATTTTGAACATCACTCTAGTCTGATTATGATTTGGACCCTAGCCAATGGGGGTTATTTATTGGCACAGAAACTAGTTTCTTTTGGGGCTTTACCACCGGTTTACGTGTGGTTCTGGGCCTTGTCACGGGCTAAGTGACCGTAGTCACCAAGACTTGGGTTTTGTGAATTGCATCATTGAACCATTTGAATATCGAACCATCAATTTTGAACAACGAAATTTCATTGAATTACCTCATTGTCTTTTCAATTAAAATGTATTGCTACACTGTTTATTTTTAGCTACGAAACATCTTACAAAATAATTGTTCATTTATTGAATGGTAGCAAAAAATATATTTATTGGTTATCGACTATTTTTTTTGTATACTTGATCCAGCTAACAGTGATGGTTGATTATTTACTGGGCTGTCTAGCTTACCCTTATTTTATTTTTCAGATTCTGAGGAGTAGAGCTGTGCGGGGTTTTTACTTGTGGGAGTGCCGAGAGTAGGGCTATGATTTAAGTACTTGGATTATTATTATTATTTCTTTTATTAGTGGACTTGGTGGACAATTTCATATGATAAGAATTATCTATTTATATGGTTTTTAGCATTATGATATTTAAGGATTTAATTTGAGTATTTTACATTGTTGGTTATGTGTTGGACTCTTAGCCTTGCATGCTCACTTAAATGAGTGTGCGGCGTTGTCACGGAGCTTGGAGCGTGACAGTGACAAATATGAAATGATCACTCTTGCTGGATTCTTTGAACTAGCACTTATGTGTTTCCCACAAGGAGAAGACAAGAAGGCAGGAACAAAACATTGAAATAAAAAAGAATAATTGGAAATCAATGGCAACAAGTGAAAACAATTGTAAAAAAATAGAGATGCAAATGAACATAACATTCTTTTAATACAACAAGAATTGCAAATTAGCGAGAACAAGTGAAAATAATTGAAAAAACATGGGAGTGCAAGTGAAGTCTGTGTTCACAATGACAATTAGAAATAGAATACCCAATGCACGAGGCTCCTATTAAAACGGGAATTGGGAAAAGTTTATACACATCCTTTAATTGTTTTTACCAAATATTAGTTGTTTTAAAACAGAATTCTCAAACCCAAGCAATTTTAAACTTAATTTTCTCAAATGCAAGTTTATTTATGATAAAAGGGCCTAGACACCATTTCAGCTTTTACAACCAATTTATTTTTCCATTAAGTATAGAAATTCATGTCAGAATCTTTTTCTTTGAATTGCTTTTGAGATAAAGCTAAGTTTGACCTTCACATTTTAGCCCACTAATTTTATGAATTACCCAATCTACCCCTCTTCCCATAACTCCATCTAATGGTGATTAAAATGGGTGTATTTTTTTTAAAGCTTGTGCAAGCCAGCACTCAACTTGATGTTAGGAATCAGTAACACCTCACTAGAATTGATTAGAAACAAACAAATGCACAAGAAAGATAAATCACACATATTAACCCAAACTAGGGCTGCATCCACAGTTGTTATGGTCAGGGATGGATCCAAAATTCAAGTTTTGTGGGGGCAAAAATACATGTAACTTCTAATCGAGAAGTGTGCAAAACACAATATCTATTTCTACAACATGAAAAATTGAATAATTTTACCCTTATTAGATATTCTTTGTCAACACAGTTAAATACAAAAATATTATCGTATGGTTGATCATATTCTTTTCTCTACAATAACTCAAAAAAATAGTAACCAATGTTATATGTCCCTCTCTACTAAAATTAGGCATCTTTGACACTTTTTCCTGATATAAATAAGAAAAGTATCAAATTCAATAAACTTAATTTCACGAATGTCATGTCAAATGCATACAACATGCCCATTGTCATAGGATGAACAAATAAGAATGGATGATAAAACAAAGGGTATCAGTAAATTAAAAAAATTATTATAATAAATTTTATTAGTTGTTTCTGTTCTTGTATCTAAAATTAAATTTAAAGATTTCACTCAAAGAGTAGTTCTCACTTTGATTAAATCAACAATCTCTTTTTTCTTTGGTTCAATCCCTTTGAAAATAGTATTATTTTAAGAAGAAATCTCACTACTCAAATACAAAAGATATTTTCATATAACTAATATCACACACATTACACAAGCATATCCTAAGGCAAAAATAAACAAACACGAGGACTAATATTACATAAAACTCAATTAGAAAATCATTTTTAAAGTTGCCATATAGTTAATTCGGGGCACGAAAGCTTACAATTGTGAACTATTTTACTAATTAGCAGTACAATCTACGAGTTTTTTTTCCCTCAAAATTTTTGAGAGTGTACACCCCTCTCTAGATCCGTCCTTGGTTGTGGTTTTCATTATGAACAAAAGAGATGGCCACCTCTTCTCAACTATAAATGCATTGAAAATAAGGACAAACAAATCACATACGCAAAATTCCAAAGATACTTCATTCTGAAATTTGATTAAGGATGGGTTTGTCCAATAGTTATCAGGATCTACTCTACCCCACCTCCATTTATTCATAATTCATTGACTAGTATATATAAAAACATATGAGTAACCCATACCATTTAAAATATTTTATCATCAAATGTTTATTGGAACATCAACGGAGAGAGTAAATTTTTACTAAATCCCTATCAATTGAAGCTCAGATCAAGGTAGAGAAAAATAAGCAATTAATATACCAAGTCAAGATGGGTCAACTCAAGAAGAGCAAACAAATAACCAATCAGATGAAATTAGGCTATACTAGTAAAAAAAATTTTTTTTATTTGTATCTTAAATATATGTAGCTTCAAAATGTATAAGATAA